TTTTTTTTTTTTTTTTTTTTTTTTTTTTTTGCTTTGAAGTTGTGATCCTCCTGCCTCCGTCTCCCTAGCTGCTTGGATTACAGGACTGCGCCACCTTGCTTGGCAAGCTGGGGCACTTTGAAAACTTGTCTTTGCCAAGGCTCTCCTGCTATTCCCAGGGCATCTGATTTATCAGGGCCAAGAGGACCTGGGCATCTGTATTTGATCGTATAGCTGATTGTTACTTTCATCTTCATGAAGAATGTTTTTCATGGTATTGAAGACCAAGAGGGTCATCATAAAACTGCTGCTGCAGAATTACTCTTATCCCACCTAGAGATGAGGTGTAAAGAGTGGAAGGACAGGGCTGGGATTTTGGCTCAGTGGTAGAGCGCTTGTGTAGCTTGTGTAAGACACTGGGTTTGATCCTCAGCACCACATAAAAATAAATAAAGATATTGTGTCCCATCTACAACTAAAAAAAAAGAATTAAAAAAAAAAAAAGGTGGAAAGACAGTAGATACGGGTTTTATGGGGCCCACCTTGACTTCATTATGCTTCTCTGCAGGAAGTTGGAGCTGCCATCTGTGTCTGGACCTATTGAAGGAGAAAGCTTCCATCTACCAGAACCAGAATTCCTCCTGATGTGCCACCCCCAGCTCCCCCACATATCTAAGGCTGTTTCTCTCCTCCACCTTGTTTTTTCATACCTTTCCTTTCCTCCTCTCTTTCACAAGTCCAGAACCTTGGGGTGGTCATGCCAACCTGTGTTTGGCAACAACAAGCAGAGGTGGCAGCTCTGACYACCTCTGGCCCCAGGCCCTCAGGGAGAAAGGAGCAGCACGCTGCCCCAAGGTGTACCCGTGGGCCCAGCTTCTCTCTGCTCTCCATGAAGTGCATTCACTCTGCTTGCCTTGGGCCCAGGCCTTGGTGATCACAGGGTTCAAACCGTATCCTCCGAGAAAGAGTGGGAGAGCAGCTCACTTCTCTTGGCCCAGCTTCTGCTCTGGTCTCCAGAGTTTCCTCCCCAGAGATGAGCCAGGCCGGGCCTGCTTGATGGGAGCAGCTGGGAGTCAGCAAGCTGAAGCTACGCACCAGGAATCTTCCATGCCCTTTGTGCTGCTTAGCTTTGCCTCCTCTCTCCAGGGTGGCCCTGCTACAAGGGGTCTTTTGCCTGAGCCAGGATGCTCTTGGTCACCTTCCTGGCTTTGCCCTATCCTGCCCCACCCCATCCAGGGGAGTAGCAGCTTCACCTGTCCTTCCTGTGCTTGCCTGGCTCACTTACCAGTGGTCTCTGGAGACCCAAGCATTCCCCACCCTCAGAACCTCCTGTCTTCTGCCTCCCTCTTTGTTCCCTTTGCTTTTGTGGGGAGAAGGGACACATCAGGGGGCCAGGCCAGCAGTTTGGGGGCCACAAGGAGACGTTGGATAATGTGCCTGTTTTTTAACTCGACAAAAAAGCCTACCTCCAAAATCCCCTTTTTGTTCTTCCTGGACCTGGGCATTCAGCTTCCTGCCCTTTACTGAATTGGGAGCTTCTGCCTCCTGCTTGTGTATCCTGACTCCTGGGTCACAGGAATGCATAGATGTCCCCTTCTTCCCTTGCACGCTCGCTAGCAGCTGGTAAGGTCTTCATGCCCTGATTCCTTGGTTTTCTGCTTAGTGGCGCTGACGCTGACATTAAGTAGAAGGGGGATGGTCCATGCCAGGACACCCTGGAATGACCTTCCTTTGCTTGTGGGCAGGCCCTAACTAACTCACTGTCGCTTTGGAGTTGTGTCTCTTCTCCCCTCCCCCTTTAGTTCCTGTATTCTAAACATTAGTAAAAATAAACATTTTTACACAGAGCCCTCTGCTGGATGGTTTATCTCCTAACTCTCCTGGTTAAGAAGGCCATGTAATCTAAAACTTTATTCCTTCAGACAGTGTTTTTTTTTTTATCGTTTTATAGCTTTTTTTGCCCAAAATCCAAATTTTTGAACATGTAAGCCGATAAAAAATTAGTTGTTTTGTTATGTAAATTCAAGTTTATAACAACTTCTTATAAAAAACAATGAAGCTGTTTTCGTCAATACAAAATTTGGGTTGAAATAACTAGCATCCTGTTTATTTCTGTGCTTTGGTTGGTTGAGAATATTCTGCTAGACTTGGATAGAAGTGGTGACAAGTTTATAATAGTTTACCTTGAAATCTCAAAGATACTTAAAATGGATCCAGAAGTTTGATTATTATATAAAYTTAAGTGACAGTAACATAGGACACGAGTAACATCACCATGGGGCACATGAAAGCATTTGCATAAATAATGAGGGCAACCTCCTTCAGAGGGGCCTTAGTCTTGGTCTCAGCCCTGTCATAAAGTTGCTTCCCTACAGTATTCCTGGGGCAAGAACTGTCCACAATGCAACTCTGCAGTCTTTCCCAGGATACATTTATATGCACAAAATTAATCCCTTGCAACAAAGTAAACATTTTGATGCTGTGTAGAGGATCTTGTTACGTCTCACTTGAGTGTGTGTTGAAGTTTTAAATTTTGTTTTTGTGGTGCTGGGGATCAAATGCAGACCCGTGCAAATGGTAGGTAGGCAAACACTAACCACCGAGCTACACCTTAGCCCTTAAATACTTACTTTAGAGAAAGATTCATTTATTTTTTTATTTTTATTTTTTAAAGAGAGAGTGAGAGAGGGGAGAGAGACAGAGAGAGAGAATTTTTATTTTTTAGTTCTCGGCGGACACAACATCTTTGTTGGTATGTGGTGCTGAGGATCGAACCCGGGCCGCACTCATGCCAGGTGAGCGCGCTACCGCTTGAGCCACACCCCCAGCCCCAAAGATTCATTTATTTATAGGTCCTCTGAAGTCTTCTTTGGTTTGGTTTTGCTTCTGGGTCATCCTGAAAGTCGCCTTTTGGAAGACTGAACTCTGGACTGTTCTGTTACAGTATTAGGGTGTTCTGAACTGGGATGTGAGGAGCTGAGCACGTACATCCTTGAGTACTTAGACTAAAGAGGCCAGGAGTAGAGGGAGGGAGTGGGGCCACTGTCCTTGGTGGTTGAGTAGCCAGGGCTGGAAAAGAAAGGTGATAATGAGAACACTGAAGCTGGCATGAGGGAATGTGAGAAGGGTTTGCAGGACTGAGCGGTGGATAGCAACTGGTAGAATGCAGTGGTACGGAAGCCTATAAGCTAGGCAGGCTGGGAAGAGGGAAGCTGGGGCTGCAAGTTAAAATACCCAATTTTGTTCGGTTCTGAAAGTTAGCAAGGAAAGGAATATTAGATCTTAAGTGTAGGAACTTGGATTTTGTCAAGAGGTACTAAAACATAAAAACGAGTTCTTACGCCTTGAATCAGAACTGGTTCCAGGCAAATAATGTTCGGTAGCCGGATTGTTAGACGTGAGTCCCGCGCTGTCCATGGTAACTAGCTTTTGTGTGGCTTAAAGCCAGCATCCATTTTCTCCTTTCATCATTCTCTCAAAACAACTCCGTGAGGGCCATTCGCTCCGTCTAGTAGAGGAAGGAACCCAGGCTGTTTCAGGTCACGGCCAGGAAGGTCTAGGGACGCGCGACTGCCGGAGGGCTCACCTGGCTCCTGGGCTGGTCCCGCCCCTGGTAGCTCCAGGGGAATCCCGCCGGGTGCTGGCTCCGCCCCCCCCCCCCCCGCGCCTTCACTCTGGGAGCCCCGCCTTCAGAGGGCCCGATGAACCGCCACTTCTGCGGCCTCCAATGAGACGTGGTTAGGGGCGGGAAGGGGCCCCGCTGGGGGCCAATCTGATCGGTCAGGGGCGGGGCTACGGCGGGTGGGAGCCGAGGAGCCGCACCGCGGTCTTCCCAGCCGGGAGAGAGCCCTGCGCGGGCGGCGCGCGCGGAACCTTGATGTGCGCGCGCCCGCCGCCCGCGCAGCCCCTCAGCCCGCTCCKCCCTCGGGGTCGTGGTGCCAGTCCTTCACCTGCTGTGCACTAGCTCCCCGGACAGGGGCTGGGGAGCCGGGTAGGGGCAGAGGCGCGAGCCACGGGACTAGCGCCTGAGGTGGGTGCGGAGTGGGAGGCCCGGTGGGCGGGCGGGAGGGTCGCGCCTGGATCTGCGCCTGGGTCGATCTGGCCGACGGACTGCGGGTCGAGGTGGGGAGAGGCCGGCCAGGGCGCAGAGCCGGCTTCCGGCCTGCCTGAATCTCGGGAGCAGGTTCTCGCTCCCTGGTACCCCTCCCAGACCACCACCCTCTCCGCGGTGGACCCCCGCCCCTCTCGCTGCCTGCAACCTCTTCACCCCTATCGCCCTTTGTCGCCTGTGCACCTGCACGCTCCTTTGCCCTCCCACTTCCCTTCTAGGCTGGACCCTCTCCCAGCCTTACCCCTCTCCTTGCCCTCCCACACAGCCCCAAATTAGACTTGCCCCAATTTGTTCCCTAGATCCATCTTTTTCCCCCTTTGTCGTCTGTACACCTGTCTCAGCTCTGCCCATTCACCCCACCACCGTGTCCCCTAACATCATCTGAGTCCAGCCCAGGCCATTGTCCTCATCTCCCTCCCATGGTACACACACACACACACACACACACACACACACACACAGCCCTGATTGTCCCCTACACCTGCCCCAGCCTCAGGCCCTCTCCAATCCTCACTCCTTTGTTGTCTCAGCAGCTGTCCCTGGACTCTATTCATCCTTCTCCCCCAATGATGCCAAACTCCAGCCCAGACTCTCCTCTCCCTCTGACCAGAGATGCCCCCTCCCAGCTCTGTTCTGGCATTCCCTGGGGTGGTGTCCAGCCCACTCCTCAATCAGCCAGTTCATTTCCTTTCCTCTTTCAGCTGGTCCAGTCTCCCCTGGCCTCCCATACTCCAGCCCATTCCCTTATCCTCATGTATCCTCTCTTCCTTTCTGCACTCCTCTCCCATTCTTCCAGTCGCAGCCACCATATCTTATCTTCTGTCTCCACAGGTGACCTGGAGGAACCATGGAATTGAGTAGCAAGAAGAAACTCCATGCCCTGTCCCTGGCTGAGAAGATCCAGGTGCTGGAACTCCTGGATGAGTCTAAGATGTCCCAGTCTGAGGTAGCTCGGCGCTTCCAGGTGTCCCAGCCACAGATCTCACGCATCTGCAAGAATAAAGAGAAGCTGCTGGCAGACTGGTGCAGCGGTACAGCTAACAGGGAGCGCAAGCGCAAACGGGAGTCCAAGTACAGTGGGATTGACGAGGCCCTGCTCTGCTGGTACCACATTGCCCAGGCCAAGGCCTGGGACGTGACAGGACCCATGCTGCTCCACAAAGCCAAGGAACTGGCAGATATCATGGGGCAGGATTTCGTGCCCAGCATTGGCTGGCTGGTCCGCTGGAAACGCCGAAACAATGTAGGCTTTGGGGCTCGCCATGTCCTTGCCCCTCCATTCCCCCCTGAACCACCTCCCCCAGGGCTCACATCTCAGGCCCAGCCGCCTCTTTCCCTTAAAGACTTCTCCCCAGAGGATGTTTTTGGTTGTGCCAAAGTGCCCTTGCTGTATCGGGCAGTGCCCGGCAGAGCAGTTGCTTGTGATCAGGTACAGGTACTGCTATGTGCCAACAGCAGAGGCACAGAGAAACGACGGGTATTGGTTGGCGGGCTGCGGTCAGCTCCAAGATGTTTCTTTGGGGTCAGCAGTGAAGCGCTGCCTGCCTCCTATTACCCTGACCCAGGCATCCCCTGGTCAGAATGGTTAGCACAGTTTGACCAGGACATGGGGCAACAGGGCCGACAGGTAGCCTTGCTGCTGGCTGCCCAAGTGATGGAGGAGCTGGAGGGCCTGCCTGGGTTCCACCACGTGAGGCTCTTGCCTCTGTCTGCCTCCAGCACCACACCTTCCCTGCCTGGCTCTGTAGTCTGGGCCTTTAAGGCCCACTACCGACACCGACTGCTGGGCAAGCTGACTGCTGTCCAGAGCGAGAGGGATGGCACCTCACTGGCTGAGGCTGGGGCCGGCATCACAGTGCTGGATGCTCTGCACATGGTGGCTGCTGCCTGGGCCAAGGTGCCTCCTCAACTCATTTTAAGCAGCTTCATTCAGGAAGGGCTGGCCCCAGGCAAAACACCCCCATCCTCAGACAAAGATTCTGAGATGCCACCAGTCCCCAGTGGGCTGAGCCAGGAGGAGTTTTCCCGCTTTGTGGACCTGGAAGGTGAGGAGCCAGGGCCTGGAGTTTGCAAAGAGGAGATGGGCACTGACAATGAGGAGGGGAGCAAGATGGACAGCTTTGAGCCCTTGCCCACCAAAGCTGACGCCCTGCGGGCCCTGGGTACCTTAAGGAGGTGGTTTGAGTGCAATGGCACCTCCCCAGAGCTTTTTGAAAAATTCTATGACTGCGAGGCAGAGGTGGAACGGCTCTGCTGCCTGTGAGGGTGCTCGGCTGCCACCAGAGCCCTCCTGCTCTGTTTCCCATGGAAACGCCTCTCCAGAAGGCAGATCGGCCCTTTCCTGTGGAAATACAGTGTGTGGAAAGGAGGACTTGCGACTTCAGGTCTAAGTTCAGAGCCAAAGTGCCCAGGCCCTGAGAAGAGGCTCTAAAGGTGGGACCTGGAGGTTGGGAGTCTGGGCTATATAGTTTCCAAACTCTGTGAGAAGGTTCTAGAGCCTGGGGAAGGAATTTGGAGGAGCTGGGGCTTGGCAAGGTAGGACTTGGGCTTTAGAGACAGTGGCTGTATTCCTTGAACACTATGTTAAAAACAGTTCTGCTTCTGGAATAAAGTTTTTAACTAGAAAAAAGGCCAGGGTGTGATTTTATCAGAGGAGGGTAAAATCTTTCAATTCAAATTTTATTTTAATTTTTTAAAAWTTTTTWAATTGTAGATGGACACAATACCTTCATTTTATTTATTTTTTAAATTTGTATGTGGTGCCAGGGACTGAACCCAGTGCCTCATGCACGCTAGGCAAGCACCCTACTACCGAGCCACAACACCAGCCCTCAATTCAAATTTTAAAAACCAACTGCTGACAGTTGCCCCAGTGAAGCTGTGGGTGGGGGGCTAGTTGGATTCCTCCTTCTGGAGGTCCAGCAGCCAGGATTCCCAAGTGTGGACAGTCCTTATGGCCCACCCTGCTAAGAAGTGAGGCTTGAGGACAGACAGATCTGGGGGATTGTCCCAGACATTCTATAGCTCTGATCATTTTGATCTGATTGCATATGTCTGGAGTGGAGGTGGGAGGTAGGCCAGGGGTGCAAAAAGGAGACAGAACTTAAAATAATAAATATTGATTGATTTTTTTATCCATTTATTCATTATACAACATTCTTCAGCAAGGCCTCCTGTGTGACAAGATTGCAGAGTTGTGTCAGAAAAGCTTGTGCAAAGTGCTGTGGAGACTCCTTCCTGGTGGAGGTGAGCCTTRAGCTGCAGCTGGAGGGGCGGACAGAGGAGTGGGAAGGATGTGCCAGATCAAGGGACAGCAGGCACAGAGGCTGATTGTGAGTGAGGGAGCTCGTCAGAATGTGGAATGCATGGGAAGGCAGGGGGTTCTGGGAGCCCCCAGGTAAACTGGGGTTCTAGTAGCAGAGCAGCTAGCAACTCTGTCCTAAAGGGAAATGTAGGGGCTGGATGTGGGTGTTTGCTGTGTGGCTTCATGGGACACTTCACCTGGCAGACTGCCTAATGCCTAGTTTCCAACCCATGACCAGGTGTCACTTACACGGGAAATTGTTTATACTGGCAGAAGCTCTATGGCTTCTTGTCTGACCAGTGTTCATTCATGCCTGCCTGATTATAGCTCTGGTGCTGCAAGCTAGATCTTGTGGTCTCCACAGTGTCCTGGGGAAAAATCTGCCTGGAGCCACCCTGGTTCATGAGATGAAAGGTACAAATTCAATATACCACCACAAGAGGAAATAAGTTCAAAAATTTATTATTTTCAGATGCTGGGCAGGGAGGACACAGTGAGTAGGGAGGGCAGTTCTCTGTCTCTACATCACTTGAGGCGGGAATTAAGAGATAGACTCACAGGGGGAGGGGAGAAACTAGCATTATATATAGTGAATTAGGTGTGGGTCACTTTACTTTTTATTTTTGTTAAGAGTTGGGGTCTCTCTGAACGTGTTAGTGCACACCTGTGATTTCGGTGGCTCAGGAGGCTGAGGTAGGAGRATGGCAAGTTCATAGCCAGCCTCAACAATTTAGCGAGGCCCTAAGCAACTCAGTGAAACCCTATTTCAAAATAAAAAGGGCTAGGGATGTTGCTCAATGGTTAAGTGCCCCTGGGCTCAATTCCTGGTACCAAAAAAAAGAGATATGAGGCCTCAGCTTCTCAGGTCACAGGGACTGCAGTGTGGAATTGTACTTCTAATGGCAGGCAGTGACCTGAGCTGTGCTGTTCCTGTAACATGGCAGTAGTATAGAGGAGACCCCAAGAGTAGGAAGGACCTTTATAGCCCACCAAGTTTACTGTTGGAGCACCATCGAAGAGTCTTAGGGAAGAAATGAGTCATTCTTGGGACTCTAGGATGAAAATGGAGACAGTGCAGTGTGGGTCAAAGATGTGGGATCGAGAGGCAGAGAGACTCTCATGGAAGCAGGTAGGAGATAGTGGAGGCAAGGCAGATCCCCAGCAGCAGGATGAGAGGATGTGGTTGGCCCTGGAAAGGACAGGGGCTTTGGATACAGGCAGGCTAGCTGGGGAGGATTCTGGCTCCAGCCCAATCCTCCCAGTGACCTTTTGGCCTGGACCTTAAGAATTTGCCAGGCAGGCCTGGTGGGGGAAGCTGCCCCCCAACTCTGGCTAAGTACTAGGTAGGCCCATGTGGTGCATTTTTCTGAAGGGAGTTACAGTCAAGGCCTCCRTCCTAGCCCATGTCAGCCCTGCATCCCACCTAGGGACCTCCTCCTGAGGCCTCCTGTGGGAACCTAGCAGAGCACTTTCCCAGCCTCTAYCAGGACTTCCTTACTGAAGGACATTGATGTGACCTGGCTCATACCTTTCTCTCCAGCCCTTCTCCCTGTCTCCCAGCCCACAGGTTCTTAAAGAGGCAGGAGCACTAACTGGTGCTCCTTGATGGTGAGATAGTCCCTTTGCTCCTCATCTGTCCCTCGTCCAGTGCTGTTTCACGAAGGAACAAGAGAGCCAGAGGCTGTTTCTGCCTCTTGCTTGCAGGCTTCAACAAATGAAGAAAGGCTTTGTAGTTCTGTCTTTCGGCTCAGCTTCTTATCCTAGTAGGCCTGGCACCTGTCTACTCTGACGATAGGACTCACTTTTTTAGTTGTTGATACTGAGTTTTGAACCCAAAGGCATTTAACCCCTGAGCCACATTCCCAGCCCTTTTTTATATTTTTATTTAGAGATAGGGTCTTGCTGAGTTGTTTAGGGCCTCACTAAGTTGCTGAGGCTGGTTTTGAACTCGTGATCCTCCTRCCTCAGCCTCTAGAGATGCTAGAATTACAGGCAAGAATTCACTTTTAAACCATTTTGAAACTGCCTGTGAACCTTCCATTTTCTGGCCTAAGATCCCAAATCATGTAGCCTTTCCTTGTATTCTGTTTTCCCTACCCTGTGTTCATTTAGATTGTTCTTTTCTGAAATCATCCCAGTTCTGACATAATTCTTAAAATGTTGAAATCCAGGGGCTGGGGATGTGGCTCAAGCGGTAGCGCGCTCGCCTGGCATGCGTGTGGCCCGGGTTCGATCCTCAGCATCACATACAAAACAAAGATGTTGTGTCCGCCGATAACTAAAAAATAAATATTAAAATTCTCTCTCTCCCTCTCTCACTCTCTCTTTAAAAAAAAAAAATGTTGAAACCCAGACCTCTAAATATCTGTCCAAAGCAACAAAGCGGACAGATTAGCCCTCTCTTCTCAGATGTCATATTCCAGCTGTACCGCTAACTTCTTCCCAGAGATTTTGCTTATTTTTATTTTTATTATTTGTTTTAATCTGTTTATTTTGCTGTGCTAGAGATTGAAACCAGGGCCCCATGCATGCTAGACAGACACTGAGCTGCATCCTGAACCCTTTAAATAAAAAATCCACAGTTCCTCTCTTCCTCCCTCTGAGCCTTGTTATAATATATCATAACTTTCCTGTCTGTGACTTTGTTTGCTAGTGTAAGCGGAATTTACAGGACTCTTGGCTGGTGGGTTGGGCCCTGCTCTAGGACTCCAAAGCTAGTGCTAGAGGATCCCTCCTCTGTAGGCCCTCACATCTTGAAAAAGGAGATAAAGAATAGGTATGAACACAGTCATTTTGGATGGCGTTAAGTAACAAAAATCAAATAGTGATGTCAGAGAGTGGCAGGGAGGCTAGTGGGGGAGTGCAATTCCTGATGTGTTGGGACCTCCCCTGCTCCTGCTCTTTATTTCTCTGAGTTTACCTTTTTAGGTCTCACATCATAGGTGAGATCATACTGTATCATCACCCAGCCTTTCAAAGCAAGAGTATTCTCTGCAAAGGGAAGAGCAGTTCAAACATCAGAGGTTAGCCAGGCAAGGTAGAGCACACCTGGAAACCCAGTTACCCAGGAGGCTAAGGCAGGAGGATCACAAGTTAGAGGCTAGTCTGGGCAACTGAGCYAGATCCTGTCTCAAAAACTAAAAAGGACTCTGGTAAAGTACTTGCCTGGCCTGTGCCAGACTCTGGATTTAATCCCCAGTACCAAACAAATATCCATCAGAGTTTGGGCTGGGTTCAGCAGTGCACACCTGTAATTTCAGCAACTCTGGAGGCCAAGGCAGGGGAATCATATGATCAAGAGCAGCCTGGGCAACTTACTGAGACCCTGTCTTGAAAAATTAATAAATGAGGATATAGCTCAGTAGTAGAGTCCCCATGGGTTCAATCTCCAGTACCACCCCCTCAAAATCATAGATTAGGAGTAGCTTGGCAGACTGAAGACATGGAAATCAGTTCCTGAAAGCAAGAGAGGCTAAGGAAGGGAAAGCGTGGAAAGGTGGGCAGGGGCTTGGGGCTGGGCAGCATTCAAATTTAAGTGAGATAGGAAGTCTTTTTCTTTGGTGGGGGGTAGTTTAGACAAAGGGACAACACATGTTGTATTTTTTTTTTTAAGAGAGAGTGAGAGAGGAGAGAGAGAGAGAGAGAGAATTTTTAATATTTATTTATTTTTTTTTAGTTCTCGGCAGACACAACATCTTTGTTGGTATGTGGTGCTGAGGATCGAACCCGGGTCGCACGCATGCCAGGCGAGCGCGCTACCGCTTGAGCCACATCCCCAGCCCCACACATGTTGTATATTTTTTTTAAAATCTAATTCTTTCCAGGCACGGTGGTCCACACTTGTAATCCCAGTGACTCAGTAGGCCAATGCAGGAGGATCACAAAGTTCAAAGCCAGCCTAAGCAACGTAGTGAGACCGTGTCTCAAAAAAAAGAAAAGGGACTGAGGATATGGCTCAGTGGTTAAGTGCTCTGGGGTTCAATCCCTGGTACCAAAAA